ATTCAACTCATTTTCAAATATTTCACAAATTATTTCATATGTACGTCTATCTTTGATAAATTCTACAATTAATTTATGTAATATTTGTTCCTTTATTTCTCTAGGTAAATTCCTAGTTATATATAATGTTATTATTTTTAGTTTATTAGGGATAGGGTTGTAAAATATATAACATCCTTTTTCTTCAATACATTGATAATAATTATTTATTTTTAAGATTTCCATGATCTCTATGGCTCTGATACCAACTCTTTGGGTGCTACTATGCTACTATGAGCGAACAAAAATCTAATAATCTAATAATCAAAATATCAAAAATTTTAATCTCATAAATTTTTAAGTAATTCTTCAAAATCTAATAATGTTTGAGAATTTATAATATCAATATCTGTTATCATATCTATGTCTGTTCCAAAAGGTATTTCATATTTTGAGATACTTTTCATTCTTTTTGCCAATTTATCTATTATATCTTGTATATCTTTTATGATTATTGACCTTACAATTCCTTTAGCGAAATTTTCTAATAAGTTTTCTTTAAAACATTTTAATATTTCTTGTGATGCATATAATTGTTCTTGATATCCTATCTTATCAATTTCTTTTTCAAATTTAATTTCTTTTTTATTTTTAACAACCTTTTTTATATTATATGGTCCTCTCTTATATTTGGGCTTTTCCATTTTATAATTATTCATTAATAATTTTTACAAATTTTTAGAAAAATTATTTGTTAGATTTTTTTTAAGGACTAAAAAAGAAACTTTTTATTATATAAAGGGTTGGTTGATAAATTTTTTCAAGGATATTTTGGGTAGTTTCAAATTTCTAAAAAAGTCAAAAGCCAATTTGGAAAAGGTTATATACTATTTGGGCCATTTTCATGTATATCCCCTAATATTAGGATACAAATGCAAAATTAAAAACATGTTAAAGTAACTTACATGTACGTTCGTGATGAGCTAAAATAAATTTCAACACTAATCTTCAAAAAACTATTACAAATTAGAGATTAAAAAACTCCAAATATAATGTTGACAATACATTTTTTTCCTATTCCACCATTTTTTAATTGCATTAAATGTTCTAAGATTTGCTAATCGTCGTACTTATATCTCAACTTCGCATTCAATTTCTCAATATTTTATTAATTAACATATTTTTATCTTATACAAAAAGATTATCTATCAACGTATTTTAAATGAGCAAAAACAAAATAAAAATAAAATTTGCCCATCACCTTAAACTACGTTAAGAGCATATCTAAGAAGCATTTCAAATATGATCTTAATTTTAAAGAGTCAAACTTTGATAAGATCTACATTTAGATAGTTGAATCCACCCTCCAAAGATATAGTAATTGAAAGATAATAGAAAAAACAATAAATTATAGTTGGAAAAAAGTAAAAGTAAAATTAAAATGCATGAAATAGAGAGGGGAACGGCCCCTGTACAGGGCCCAATAAAGAGTTTGTTGGAATGTGTAAAAAACGGAACTCTTCAAATTTAAATGTCAAACTTTGAAACTAGACTTCAGTAGGATCTACAATTAGATAGTCGAATCCACCCCTCCAAAGATAGAGTAATTGAAAGATAATAGAAAAAACAATAAATTATACTTGGAAAAAAGTAAAAGTAAAATTAAAATGCATGAAATAAAGAGGGAAATTGCCCCTATACAGGGCCCAATAAAGAGTTTGTTGGAATGTGTAAAAAATGGTACTCTTCAAATTTAAATATGTTCTTTATAAGTACAAGATGCTCGTTTTCAAAAACAAAAAGACAAAAAAAAGTACAATATGAACTTTAAAATAAGGTGCAGTTTGATTCCATTAATTGAAAGAAATGTTTTTGAAAAGTATTTTTAGGAAAATATGTGGTTAAAAAGTATGAAAATTTTTGAGAGAACGTATAATATATTTTATTATGTGAATATATGATTGAAAATGATCATATAGCAAATCATACAGTAAATTAATGGAAATCAAACAGGTCGGAAGCTATTCGGAAATTTTTTAACTTCTAATAGAATAATTGGATGATAATCACCATCAAAACTAAATATAATACTTAATTGGAGATTGATAATATGAATGCGACAAAAAGTGAGGATTATAATTGCTAAAATAATTAAAGATCGAAATGTTTTGGTGCAATGAAAATCAGTGGAAAAAGGAGAAACTGTGGCTATAATACTATTCAAAAATATCTTCATATATTTCCTGCTTGAATATTCATATATTTTTTATATGCCATTTCTTATTTTGTTGAAATATGAATTGAATTGAAAAATATGAAAATATCATAAAACAAAATAATAATTTTGGAACAAGTTTGGAGAATTCGTATGGGACCATGTTATCAGCGCAAAGCGGTGTGAGGGAATAATTTGAAAGGTGATATTGGAAAAGTCCATTATAGCCTCAATTCCCCCAATTTCCCTACCGTCTTCTCAAACCCTAACTGGTCTCACCACTCACGTACGCCTGTAAGTTCCTTCTGAATTCAATTCATCTTCTGTTAGTTCTCAAATTAGTGAAGGTTATATTCTTTACTACATTAGGTAATTTTTCTCTTTTTTGATTTTATAATGAATATAATTGCGTTTTTTTTTTTATCAGTCCTCAAATCAATTAAGTTCATTGTTTTTTATTTATTATCATAATTTTTTTCCTTTTAAAGTTGCATAGGTAGTTATAATCATGTTCTAATTTTTTGCCGTGCTGCTAGTTATGTGGGAAAATCTTCGTTTCGACGTAAAGAACATGTTCTATGTAGAAGTTATATAGTCTTCTGTTTTTTATTTTCTATAGACTTGCAATATTTGAAGTTTTACATGGATTTGTTACTTTTATTTTTTCAGTTGATCAAAAGATAGATAAGAGGAACATTACTTATACTTGAATTACTAATTCTTTTTGTCTACATAATATCCCGAGCTCTTGTATTTAAAGGTTATCATGCCCATGAGTTTCTGCATCTACAAAACACTATTAATGATCCTTTTTCTCTTGAAGATGCATTTTGGACACAATTGGTGAATCTTGCTGGGGAAATTCAAGTGGTGGATTATTTTGGTGAGCACCAAGAATATGTTTGGCAAGGTGTTTCTTGTTATTTTATAAATACTTTGATCAAACCACTTTTTATCCACACATTTGTAGGACTCACAAGTGCTACCCGGACCTCCACCACTCAGTTACCCCTATATATAAACACCCCTGTTTATAAACACTTTGCCGAACATACGACAAATGTTGAAAAATCTTGATTGCATGGAGGAGAATATACACATGCAGCTAGTAGATGAGTGCAATGTTGAAGGTGCCACTGTTAGTGATGATGAAGGAACAAATAGAAACCAAGTATTATGTGACATCCAGAAACTATCTGATGATGAGTCCGTTCAAACATCGAAGAGATGGTGGTTGTTCAGTTTACTGGGAGTTCAAGGTAGACACTATGATGATGTTTGCAAAGCACCATCAGAAACTTTGAGTATTGAAGAACATCATCCAGGTTAGCTCTGTATCTATCAACACATAGTAATACACTAGTGGTTATTGTTCTAAGATTTCGATTATCCAATTCCATTTTTGTTATTGTAATACAATTCCTGAATATTATCTTTTCTATTTCAATAACATTTTTGCTGCATTCTTAATGGTACATACTATGAAAGAACTCGAGTATACGTTGTAAAGTGGGATAGAATGTTCTTTCTAGAATATAGTAAGCAATCACTGGTCTATTATTACTCTTACTGATCTGAGCGCTGTCTTGTTGATAGGAGAGGAGATCATTAAGAAGAGTGCATGTACTTTTCATAACAAAATCTTATGAGCCTAAACATAGTTTTCTTAACTGTTTTACTTGCTGATATTATTGTCTGTTTATGGTTAGCCACTGTTTCACCAAGGAAAGTTTGAATGGAATTGAAAGCTTGAAAAGTCATGGTTTATGATTATAATTGATGCATTTTCCCTTGTACTTGATCTATGCACTTCGATCTTGCGGGAGGTTGCTTAGCTTTAGTGTTATATTCGTTTCTTAATTTATGCTCTTGTTTGATCCCCATTCTTTGGAAAAAAATGAATTCTTCTACAGTGTTTTAACATTACTTCAACCACACAGTCTTCAATAAAATAATATTACACGCAAATTTAAAACATTTCCTTATTTTTTAACCACTCATTTCCGATCAATACACTATTCAAAAATTCATTTTCCCCCTCAAAATAGGGCTCAAACAAGGTCTATATATGTGAAATGAAGTTTTAGAGTGAACCTGGATAAGATGCTGTTGCTATCGTTAATCTGGTTGCAATAACTCGGTTTTGTTCTGGATATTCCACAGTGGTTTTACATCAGTGCATGCTGCATCCATTAGGGCTTGTATGAAATTCCATCGAAGTCTGGCTGGGAAATCAATGATGAGCCTGATCTGGATGAGTACAAAGAAACTGGTAAGGAAATAAGAAATCTTACTTATTCATTAGATCTGATGCAGTTTAACCATTTCTTTCATTTAAATAAGCCCTTATCCCTTTTAAATTTTCTTTTCAATAATAATAAAAAATAGAAATATAAGTTACAGAGACTACAGTTTTTTATTTCTTTTTTTATAGGCTAGTCTCCGCAAGACTTAGGTTGTCTAATCAATTGATTGTACTGCATTTGAAATTTTACGAACCTAAAGTTTTGTATACAATAATTACTCGATAACAACTTGCCATAAATAATGACAACCCATAAATCAAACATAACCATTTATCAGTGTTGCAATTATGGATTTACATTGATCCACCGTTATCTGATTGGGACCTTAATACAATTTTTGTTCAATAAAATATTTGTTAACAAATTTGTTGCTTATATAATGGGTAATCATAAGATGACAACCAAGACAATCAATGGGATGATTGCCTAGGCTATAAAAATTACTTAAGTAAGTGACGTTGATAGTAAATAAGTAAGTTCAAAGGTAAATGAGTAATTTCATTTGTCAAAGTTGGGAATGAGTAAGTTACTTATTGCGACAGTTAACCCCTACTTTAGTAATCTTTTTGTTCATAAATAAGAAAAAATAATTTATTCAAGTATATTACGAGTAAAACTTATTAGTCTGACTTATTTATATAGTAAGCTAAATTATACTTTTTCAAGAATAGGACATCTAAGACAAAGGTAAAAGTAGGGGTGGCCATAAGATCCAAACTATTTTGTTTAAAATTAATTCAGTTCTCGGTTTTAAGAGACCGAGAACCTATTCTTTTAGGGTTGATGCACACCAACCAATGTGAATCAATTAAAAATCGGGCAAAGCCTCACAAATGAGCAAATCACACAATTTTTTGCCCATCTAATCTTCTTCCCTTCGCAGCCATCCATAAGCTCACTACTGTCACCATCGGCCTTCTCTCCATTTCCTTCAGGTTTATAGAAGATGTGCAACACGCCACCAGCAGTGGAGCCCCCCATAAGGCCACTGAATTTGGGCCTCCCATTTTAAAATCTACCTAGGCCTGTTCCTACTCAGCCCAATGCTTCAATATTGGAAAAAAAATTGAAATCTTCTAAAATGGGCCAACTGAACCTAATTACCCAAATAATCACCCATAATTACCCAATTATCTGCCAGTCCCATTAACCCTAGAGAAAACAGGAAGAAGGACTTAGTGCTCCGCCGGTGACTCCAACCAGCACATCCAGACGGCATACTGACTCCCCGACTTCATTCCCTCCAACACCAAAGTCCAAGCTATTTAGTTAATAGTTAGGACTTAGGTAAATAAATCCTTTAATCCTTCTCTATTTTTCTATTTTTTTTGGTGGGTTTAAATGTGTATTTTTTACTCGATTATTCTATAATGTTAAATTCTGTAAATAGTAATTTAATTTTGAATTGTTACAATTATTATTGTTGGTTTAGGGTTTTGTCTTTATTGACTATGATTTTTTACAAATACTCAAGTTGTTCTGTTGGATCTTGAAGATAATATTTTAATTTTTTGAATGTTGTCATTTATGTTTTATATGTTTGCCTAGTGGGAATCAGATCAGTATAGGCACAACCACTTTGATTCAAAAGCGAGTTCGAAACGATAATTGATTATTTTCTCAAAGGAATATGCATGTTTTAAATGCCCCAGCATCATTAAATTAATAGGAGTGACATTGATGTCTGATGCTTTCTTAGATTTAAGTTAGTCTTATGTCATGCTACAAATTAAGCCCTAAAAGTGAATTGTTCTTGTCATTTTAAGTGGGAGTTTGAATATTAAGCCCCTGTTTGATACCCATTAAATTAAATTACATTACATTCCATTTTTCTGTTTCCTATTTTCAACCACACAATCTTCCATAAAATAATATTACACGTGAATCGAAAACTTTTCCTTATTTTTCAATCACTCATTTTTCTATAAAATACTATTCCCCCCATTTTCATTTTCAGGTAATGGGGGTCAAACAGGGGCTAAAATTGTTACTTGTACATTGCAAATTGGTTAGCGAATAAGTATTTTATTTCATTTTCGGTTGTTACAGCAGGAATTTGAATATTAGTATTGTTGTGTTATTAAATTGTTTTAATATTTTACCTATTATTAAATATTGCCGCTGCCACCATCGAATTTGTAAGTTAATCTTTTTTCTGTTTAAACTTTCAGCAATCAATTCTTTCTTAGTCTTATATCCTTTCCATTTTAGTGCTAATACAATTTTCGAGCCCAGTCATTGAGTCAGCCAACACCAACAGATGTACTTTTTTCTTCTTTGTCTTTTTCTTTGGTTCGTTTTCAGATTTTGGGACAGATTTGTAAATGATTGTTTCTAAAATCTAGTAATTTGATACAGTTACATGATTTGCCTTGTATTGAATTTGAATTATTTCTGCACCGTGCACGCCTTATTCGTGAATGTTGAATGTTGGAGACATTACTTGTGGTTGCAATTTCAATTTTATGATTTGGTTCCTTCTGTAACTCTTAATTTGATATCACATGTTACCTGTTTGTGCTATAAATTGTTGAAGCAGGAATTATTGATATGGTAATTTGGATTAGAAGTACATGTGGTGATGAGAAGGAGAAATATTTATTTTGGTTTATTGTTTGGTTCTATTTTGTGCTTGATATGAATTTTTGTTGATGTTTCTCATCTTGGTTTCCTACCTATCCAACCATCTGCTCACCCACCTGTATGGACATAAACTTTAATTACCATCTCATTAGCAACTGCTAAGTTATGCATATTCACGTGGACATTATGTAGTTAGTGAAAGTTCTTTGTCATCTAAAACACACCATAAGCTATCTTGAGCATCCTGTCTTATGCTATGTTTTAAATTAATCACATGGAAGCCTTTCTTCTATATTTTTGCACTTTCCGCCAATTTCCGGAAAAGATGACTGGCTTTCATGGTAGATATATATAACATCACACATTTTACTCTGTGCTCAATTACTCTCTCCCATGATCTTGATTTCTTTTCTCCATTTGCGTAGATAGAGTGAGCAACTTTTTTCTCTGGCTGTGGTTTCAATATGACTATAAAACTTTTCACACACTCCTATGTGATTGAAGAATTACCCTCTTTGGTTCGTGTTTAGCTATTGTACTTTCTTAAATGTCTTGTATATAAACCTTATTGTTTTTGCAATATTTTGTTATCAGGTGAGCTTATATCTTTGGACTCTCCTAATACCTCCTGTGATATGTTCCTAGTGTAGGAGGCCTAGTGTCGCAGGCCTCCGCATTCCACATCGAGTTGCTGTCTCCACCTATGGCCTTGTTTGATCCTTCA